TCATATGTAATTTAAAAGCAAGCTTTTCTTTGTAAAAACTTCAATTGAATTTCAATAAAGTTAAAAGCATGGCCTTACCGTTAATATTTAAAAAAAAAAAAAAAATTTTTGGTTATTATTTTAATTATTAGGTTGTAAGTTTGATAATATATATTTGTTTATAATATTCAAATATTAATTAATGCTAAATAATATTTTTAATTATTGTAACTATTAGGAGGTAAATTTGATTATATATTTATTAAATTAGAAATTTATTATTATTATTGGTAAATTGCATTTTTAGACTTATTATATTATTTAAATATAGAAAAAAACTTCAGAAATTGATTGATAACCACAAGAATACAATCAATAAAGTTGGTAATAATGGTAAAACAACTTTGCATTGGGCTGCAGAAAATGGTTACATAACTGTTACTAAGATGTTAATCAAGAAGCTAATTAAGAGCAATGCTAAAGTTGATACTATTAATAAAAATAATAAAACTGCTTTACATTGGGCTGCAGAAAATGGTTATGGAACTGTTGTAAAGACATTAATACAAAATAAAGCCAATATTGATGCTATTAATAAAAATGATAAAACAGCTTTGCATTGGGCTACAGAAAATGGTCATGAAACTGTTGTAAAGACATTAATAGAAAGTAATGCCAATATTGATGCTATTGATAAGTGTCATAATACACCATTACTTTATGCAACAAAAGTGTACCATGAAGAAATTATTGAAATTTTAATGCATTATGGGATTGATATTAAACTTGTTAATAATGAAAAAGAAAATACTTTACACCTTGCTGCTACTGCAGAAAATCTAAAAGTTATTGAAATTTTGCTAAAAAAAGAATAGAATATTAATGATAAAGATGTTAATAAAAAGACAGCATTAATTAGGGCAACAGAAAATAAGCATATAGCAGTAGTCAAATGCTTATTAAAAGAACAAGCTAGAACTGAAAAAGGTTTTAATGATCAACATTACATTCCTATTTATTTTGCTGCAACAAAAAAATACACAAATGTTGTTAAGTTATTATCAAAACAAGAGACTGACAATAATTTAATATTACATTATACTGTGGGCAATCTTGAAAATATTAAATTTTTATTAGAAAATAGAGTAAATTCCAACAATATTATCAATGAAAATAACAAAACACCACTACACTGGGCTGCATTTAAAGGTGATGAAGATATAGTAAACTATTTAATGAAAAACCATATTAAATTAGTTAATATTACTGACAAAAATAAAGAGACAGCATTGTATGAAGCTGTTTGGAATGGACATATAAAAATTGTTGAACTTTTTTTAAAAAATGATATGAATATTGATATGAAAAATGTAAATGGTTGGAACCTATTGGATATAGCTGCAATTTCTTTTCAAATTAAAGTTTTTAAGCTTTTGAGAAATGAAGTAAATAGTTTACAATTAGAGAATTTTTTTGATCAATTGGATGATCATAAATTAAATAATTATTCCAAATTTAAACTTACTTATTATTCTATACCAGAGCTAGTTAAAAGATTACAAAATTTAGACAGATTACAAAATTTAGACAATTATAATAATATTAATTTTATCTTTTTTTATCAATTTATTCTAAAGCATATTGAAAAATATGCAAAAAGTCTTGACAATGATAAAAATGAATACAAGGAAACACTTAGTTATCTATATACTCATACTCTTAGCAAAATTTGTAATCTTAAATTTGGATCAGAATCTAATTTAATAATTAATATCAAGGAATATTTAGATATGGTAGAAAACGATATTAAATTATTAGATAATGTAAGCTAACAAAAAATAATAAGTAAATTAATAACAAATATGAAAATGAACTTAAAATAAAAGTTAGTAAAGCTTATAATATTATTAAAAATTATATTAAACCTAAAATAAATGATATTATCAAAGAGATAGATGAAAGAATAAAAGTTATTAATTAATGAAACAGAAGGATTAATAGAAAATACTGAGATAAACAAATTAACTCTAGAAGATAAGCAAGAAGAATTGAAAAATAAAATTATATTAAAACAAACTTTAGGAATTTTAAAAATTGTAGGCCAAACAATGAATATTGTTGGTGGTCCAATAGAAGTAGCTGGTGATTTAATAAAAGGAGAAACTAATGTAGCTGAAGCATTTATTTCAAACAATAATTATAAGCCAAAGTTTGAAATCTCTTCAGATATAAAAAATACTTTAAAGCAAATAGAAGAACCACATAAAGATAATAAATATCAGACAAATATTGTAGAGCAACAATTACAAAAATTAACTGTTAAGTGTAACAAATTTTCAGATAAATTATCTATTATAAAAAAAAGTTTAATTAACATTAAAGAAACATTAGGCAATAGTAATTTAGTAAAGATAGTGAAATCAATAAAAAATGAATTAAAAATAGTGCAAGAAAGTTTAGAAGAATTAAAGAATAATGATCAAAAAAAAGAATAATATGAATTAGTACATAATCTTAATGACAGAATTGAAACTATTAAAATAGCATTTGAATTATTTTACGAATATAAACATGATAATAAAAAACTTGATGAAATAGATAACTCAATAAAACAAGCAGAAGGTGATATTAGAAAATTAAAACAATATTAACAAAACTATTTTCCCTATGATTAAAAAGATGCAAAATGATGTAAACAATATAGAAAATGAAATAGATGCAAAATTACATGCTTTCCTTGATTTAACTAAATGGAAAGTGAAAAATTCTTTTGAAACAATAAAATACAAAATTTAGAAAATGTCAGAAGGATTTAAAGCACAAGAAGATATAACCCATTATATAGAAATAGTAAAAAAAGGAATGAATACTCTTATCAATATGTATAATCATATACAAAATTATAGTGATCAATCAAGGCTTTCTAACTACATTGCACATATCAATTTACAAAAATTGATTAAAATAAAGAATGATGAATTGAAAAAACATATTGAAGAACTAGAGCTAACAATAAGAACCAACATTATAATTAGGCATTTTAGAAGGGCTATAACTGCATTCAAACAATGGGTATTTCCATATGCATATAAGTATTCAGACATATTAAATTTACAGTTAGATAATAATGCTATAAATATGTTAGTTGATAATGCTATAAATGTTAATAACATTATAAAACATCTAGGAAACCTTAAATCAAAAGTTGAAAGTTATTACATATATATTAAAGATGATGACCAATTTTTGATGAGTGAAGAATTTAATAGTAAAGAAACACAACCATTTTTTGTATGGGAAGCCAAAGAATATCGTAAAGAAATATCAGAACTGCTAAGAAGAGATAAAATAACTGTAAAGGCAGATATAATTAAAACCAATTCTAAAAAAAATGCAATCAAATTTAGTGAGATAGGTATCAGACTTAAATCGAAAAATGTAGAAATACAAAATAAAATTAACAGTGAACTAAATGAACATTTTAAAGTAAAAATAGTTCATTTAGGTAACTCATATTATAGATATTGCAATAAGTTTTATTTAATAAGAAGTGATTAATAGCATATTATTTATAGTTATAAAATAAAAAATAGAGAACCAGTTAGTAGCAATCAAGTTTACAAAAAAATTAAGAATGGAGAATTAATGCTTAGTCCTTATACTACTTAGAAAATAAAGCTTGATAAACTTCATGATAAAGTAGATTATAATAAGCTAAAGATTTATAAAACAGAAGTTGATCTAGAGTTGGTAGAGCATGTTAAATATATTAATCAAGATGGTAATAATGCTTCAAATGAAGTAGAAAAATAGTATGAAAAATATATACAAGACATCATTAACTAACAATTTTATTAATTCTTTACAACTTTAAAAGTTATACACTTAGTAGGTTGAAAAATAGCATTTATAAATTTTACACATTCTCCTACTATCAACATTAAATATTTATATAGCTGTTTTACTACTTCTTATTTATATGTATTTTATTTAATTGTTATTTATTATACAATTTATCCAATTGTCTTGCTCAATTTTTTGATTTTATTTTACTTATTTTTTATTTTTATATTATTATATATTTTTAAGATTTTTTCCTTATTAGTTTAAGGTTTTTTTATCTTAATTGTATATAATAATATAAACTTTATTATTATATAAAATTTTCATTAATGTTACTACTATTATAAATAATTATTATTACCATTATTAGTGTTTTTAATCAAATAAGAGTATTTGAATTTAGTTGAATAATTTTGCTAAAGAAATATTTATAGAATAATTTCAATGCAGATACATATGTGGTAAGTTATTAATGAATCGGCAATCAAATACAAATTTAAAAAAAAAGCAAAGAGATTCAAGTTTTTAAATCATAAACTACATAATTGAAAAGTTAAGTTACACAAGTTTTCAAGAAAGTATTGTAAAGTATACAAAAACTAGCATATAGTAAGCATGAGAGTTTTGTAAAAAAAATTATAGAATACTAGATGTTAGATCTGCTATTACTGTATTAAATAACAGAGTAATTAACAAATTAATATCTATTGGTCTTTTTATTAGCCATTAATTATTACAAACACATAATACAGTACACAATATATTAGTGTAGTTGTCAACTAAACAATTATTCATTTTTATTTGATGTTAATATAAGTTAACAAAAAATTTTCAATCAATTAGTTGTCAACTAAGTTAACTAATTGATTTTTCAATTTTCGATTTGTATTACTACAATATATCTTATAATAAACATTTATTAGAGGTCATTCGTCTCTTTTTAAGATGCATATGATCAAAATAACTGATTTGCGTTAAAGAGATGATTGAGACAAATACTTTACATTCAAATTAACAAACCAATTATCTAAAAAAATATGTAATTTTGATTTTGGTATTGTACACATATTTATTATAGATTTTCCTATTCATTTACAAATTTTTCTTTTGCAAAAAAATTGATACTTACATAATTCTCTGTAAGTATTCTGATTTCTGGATATATAAAATAATGATTCCAATTCAAATTTTAATATAAATTATTAAATATATCATCTTCGCATCTATAGTTAATTAGTTTTAGCTCAGTGATGAATATGCTCAATCAGATAATTTTATTAAATAATGAAGAAAAAACATATGGATTTCTATTTGTTATCTGTAGTCTTTACTACTAAATCCTATTAATAACATAAATATTCACTAGCCTTATAACAATTAATATAGCAAATTATCATATCTCAATTATTCTACAGCATCATACACCTAGAGAATGGTGTTGAACCTATTGACTACCTTAAACTACTCTACAGTAACTTACATTTAAGGAAATAGCAAACAAGAGAAGTCTAATATAGTAAATGCTAAGAATCTTACATAGCTATAAAGAGAATCGATTATATAGTTATTATGAGGTCCTATAAATGCTGAAACTACTATCAAGATCTTTAGAAATAGTGATGCAAACTGAATATTGAACAGCATAGATTATTTTAAATCAACTATAGATTTAATATGACTCATAGATTATTTATATTCTTTAAAATTTATAGTTTGCATCACTATTTAGCAATGAACATTAGAATTATATTTCAAGCTGATTACAGAAAAATTTTAATTAATAATCCATTTCCGAATGAGGCAACTAACATAGTAAATTGTGGCACACAGATCTATATTACTATAATTTTTCTACTAAGTAAATATATCTTCTGATTCTAATAGTAGTAAGATTATTAAAGTCTGATTAGTAGATGCCAAGATATTGCGAGAAAACAATTTTTCGACTAATGAAAACAAACTATTGTTTATAGTAAAACTGTAAAACTGTAAAAATAACTGTTTGGTCAAAAGACCATATATAGACTTTAAAGTAACACACAAGATTCCATTTCTTTGTTTCAGCAATATTTATCCTTCATGTATATAATTACAAATTAAATATATATTGAAAAGATATAGTTAATCACTCAGAAATGCTCAAGAAGTCCTTGTTTTAAAAATCATTTAAAAATGAAATTTCATAACAAAATGCATAAAGAATTTTTATTTAAATGATGCCAATATTCACAAAAATGACTTAGTCTTTTCTTTCAATCATTTCTTTTTTGATATTTTATTTTTGTCAAGTTGTACTTTTTTCAGAAATCATTTAAAAATGAATATACAGATTATCTGATATCTTGTGTCACACCAATACAGACATGAACTCATTATTTAATTATTTATCTGTAAGACTTTCTTTCAGTTTTCATGCACATTTTATTATTCTTCCATGGAATATCTATATTGAACCTCATTATCTATATATTAGGATTACTAATTACCTTGCTTTTTTAGATTTAATTCTGCTAATTTGCATATAATTTAAAGATATGAATTGTAAACTACAGTTAATGAACTGAGTTTCAATGAATTATGATAAAATTCTATAATCAAAATCAATGCGCTAATCTGAATTTAATCCTTATTTCTAAAAGGAGGATAATCACTAGATAAGAACACCAATGCTATATACATTAGATTTTTTTGTTAAATTTAAAATTTTTATGTACTTTTAAAATATTGAATGAGTTTGCTTTAAAGCTGAATTTAAATTTAGTTATATAAACAAAAAAACCATATTTAAAATTACAAATTCAAAATTACTTTATTTTATATTATTATTAAAAATAGTCTTTTTAATATATATATTGATCCTTTAATAATTGAACAAATTTTAGTATAGGTAAAAAGTAACTAGGTAGCTAATAACAGTTGCCAATATAAAGATTAATCATTTGTTAAAAGCTATATTTAGACTTTATATACTTTATTAATGATGATTACAAAATCTAAAAGAATTTTATAAAAGCTTTTCAAGAATATTATAACTAGAGTTCCTCAAAATCAAAGCAAATCAAAAATTAGGTCAATTTGAATTTGATAAATTAAATTGACCCTGATTTGAATTTGATTTGTATTTGAATTTTTAAAATTTTAAAAATATTGATCGTTAAAGAAAAATTCCAATTTACAAACAATTTTACTAAATTAATCGACTTTGAGCTATTAAGTAAAAATGTTCTTCTAATTAAAATACGTTAGTTTTGTAGAATGAAAAAGTCAATTATCTTAATAAAATTTTGAGTAAATAGTGTTAGATCCAATAACATGATAGAAATTAAATGCCGAGACCCACATGATAGTGATATGATGATTAATTCTTCAATTTAGATATCCCAGCGATTAATCAAATTAATTTGATTAATTAAATAAATCAAGAAAAAGAGATTAAGTAAATTAAAGGGATAAAGAGTATTTATTAAGTAAAATAGTTTAATTCAATAAGTTAGAAAAATCGAATTAAATAAAGAAATGTGATAAATGTAATTAAATAAATTATAATTAAAAAGATATTATAAATAAAGGCCGAAATGGCCCTAAAGAATGATATGTCTCATTTGCTTTATTAAATAATAAGTCCCAAAATACATTGTATTGATGATAATAAAACACTAATATTGCTACCAGTATATACTCTGTAAACCTCTATAAACATCGTCATTCATGCAATTTCTTGTTTACATGACTTATTCTATAGGACTTCATTGAATCAAAGTAACTAAAAGCCTTAATTACCTACTAGCCAAATCTAACATCCTCTTTCAAAAAGGTTACTTATCATATGTTACATAAGAAATAGAATTGTGGAGTGACTGAGTTGCCGTTTTCTGAATACAACAATAAGTTTTAAATATAAATGGTTTATAATAATTTTTCAAATCAAATCAAATATTTGTCAAATCAAATCAAATTTGATCATATTTGAATTTGATCAAATCAAATATAATTAAATTTGAATTTGAATTTGATCAAATATTTGATTCAAATATTTGAAAATTAAATCAAATAGTAGAACCCTAATCATAGTGATAGCATACTTTATTTATAAAAACATAATAGTGCTGATTTTTGAAAAGAACTAATAATAACCATCTGGCAAAATGCCACGTTATACAATATTTTGTAATTGCAATTTGCTCATGTAAAATTCTAAATAAAATAGTAATTATGATTTGCTCATGTAAAATTCTAAATAAAATATAACTATTTGGGCAAAAGGCCTTATTGGTTAAATGATCTACAGCATGTGATCTAGTAAATTGTTTTCAATAGATTGCAAAAAATAAAAAATCTAAAGCAAATAAGAAAGAAAATAAACTCACATCATCTTGTGTAAATCTTTCTAAAGGGAATAGATCTGGATGCTTGGTAATTAAATTGTTAAGAAGTTGAAGATAATCATCTCTAATTTGTTGTTTCAACTTTTGCATTAGGTGATAAAGCAAGAGTCAGAGCAGATTTCAAGTTCTTTGTTATTAAAGAATATACTTGCTATATAACTTGTTGGTAGCAATTTCATGTGTGCCTGGCTCCCATCATATACCATTTCACATGACTTGATGTAAAGAAGAAACACTGCAAGTATATCATCATCTGATAATGGTGGTTCTATGGTACATATGACAGTCCCAATGACTAAGTTACTAAATGCCACATCTGCCATCCAGAGAAGTGATTTTGGCACTGTAAGGATTACATTATGCGAATTAAAGAGCTGCAGCATTTTAACACCATATCCTGTATTGGAGAAATCTTCTAGTTGTAGCACACTTAGACCTTTAACCCCACCAGTTTCAAGCCATTCATTTAATTTCTTTGATTTAAGATAAGAATTCTTAGATTCTAAATAACTCATATAACTTTATTTAATGAAATGTTAGTAAATTTTAATTAATCTGATTTTTATTTTTTAAGTTTTGAATAAAAGGTGAACTTCCAAAAGAAGATATTTGATGTGTTAAAAAAAATAAAACCAATTATAACATAGCTTAAAAATCTTGCTTAAAAAAACTAAGACCAGTATTACCACAGTTACAGGACATGTCCTATACACTGTTAATCATTATTGGTCAAATGACATATCACAATTTACTTTATATTTTTGATACTTATCCTTTTGCTTTAGATATTCTTTTATGCAGAGTTTAGAAAGTAGTTAAAAATAACAATTAAAAGAATCATTGTTGTTGTTATAACTCTTTGGTAAGGACTCTTATTTTACATATAAATCGATGTACTAGCAGGCATTAGACTCAGTTTGTTTATTTACATGCTTTTAGTGCTATCACTTTGCAATTTAATACCATTAGGATTAGGAACACTTATTATCATTATATTGTTATCATTATGCTATTAGATTAGATTGATAAAAGAAACACATTTTTATTAATATTAATGTTTTATAAATAAGGGTATTTTAAAATCAGAAATTTTTTTATATATTTATCTGCTCATAAAACAACCAAGAAATTTGGAATTTCATTTGATACTTTAAGATGTTGGTTAAGACAGGGAAAAATATCTGTGAAAACATCTCCATCTGGGACTTGTCTTTATGATATTTCTTCTTTTTTACCAGAATTGATTACTCAAAATGATACCTCAACTACCTCCATTACTGAAAAGAAAGGTTTCCTATATGTACGTGTCTCAAGTAACAAAAAGAAGTTCTTGAAAGACAGAAATGAATCCATAAATCCAGATTCCTGAATTATGAGCTCATCAGTAATATCAGGTCAGGTATTAATTTTAAAAGAAATGGACTTAAAACCTTATTGGAACAATCAAGTAAAGGAATGGTCTCAGAAATTGTGATTACTCACCATGACCGACTCTGCAAATTTGTATTTAACCTCATTAAATATATGTTCTCATTATACTCTATGAAACTTATGGTTCTCTTCAACGAATCAAGTTCCAATAAACATGAATTATCACAAGATATCCTTGCAATCAACACCGTCTTTATCTGCTGAATACAGGAAAGAAGAGCAGCTAAATACCGAAGTGAACAAAAACTAATAGAAAATAAAAACAATAAAAACACGAAACAACAAAAAACAAAAAATCAAAACTACTGTGAATCAAACATTATCAATCAAAACATATCCAAATCATTCTCAGAAAAAGACATTGAAGAGATTGCTAGGTTTGATGAGATATACTTATAATACTGTTATTAGATGGAACAAAAATCATTGTTTTTGTAATAGTTCTAAAAATTTTGAATGGATAAAACCTTATACACTCAATGAAAAACTTAAATTATATATAGATGTAAAAGAAGGAAAAGATTTTAATGAATAGATAAAAAATTACAGAGATCATGTGTATGGGGAGAACGCAAATTTCTTCGAACAGTTGTATACTTAACCCAGATAGCCAGTTTATTATTAAATTCAGCTTATCCGCATGAATATTCAGATAATCTTTTCTCATTCTCATCAAAAGGTATTTTCTCATATAAATTGATTATACACTATTCTTAATTTTAAAAACGTGTTACAGTAATAAGTTGATTTATAATACTATCGCTATATATCGATATACAATAATTTAATCAAATATTAGGAATTATATATTTTCTAAATACTGTTAAAAACCGAAATTACCGAGCCAGATTTGGCTTAGATTTATGTAATATTTTAATTTATACAATATTAGCGTTAGTGTATTGGCATATCGATATTGTATAAAACAAATCAAGTTTTGTAGTAACGTGTTCATAATATAATTTCCACGCGGGTCCTAGAACTGCAATATGTATAAAGCTAAAGAAAGAATATATGTTTGCATAGTAATAAACTTGTTTTTTTAAATATTTTAAATTATTATAGTATATTTTATAACTTAATAATAAAATAAACTAATATATAAACTAATGTTCTTTACCGCTTCACTTTGTCTTTTTTCTTTCTTAGCTATAAAACATGAAAGTTAAAGAAAAAGCGAAAAAGTATGATTATCTTAAATATTAATAAAAGAGTATCTTATTTAATTTAATATAATGAATTAGAAAACATACCTCTAATAAGAGCGAATCTGAAAATATATAATTTGTTTTTTTTATTACTATAATATTCTCACGATTTAGGAAAACGTCTCAGAAACAGAAAAAAATGCTCACTCAGAAACAGAAAAAAACTCTCTCTCAAAACCAGAAAAAAACGCGAGATGAATTAGATCATAGCTTTAAGGAACTCGATAGACAACTCCTTTTGACTTCTTCTAGCAGCGGCAAGATTAGTAGAGCATCCTTATTACTTGAAGGTGATATGTTAATAAGTTTTCATATTTGCTACATTTCAAGAGAATTTTAACAATAATTGATGTGCTAATAATAAATATTGATTTTTTTTTGAAAAGCTGCCTCTCATATACAACATCAAAGATTAGAGTTGTCTTCAATTTACGTTGAAAACAAACAATTGATTGGAAATTTGTCTTCATTTTACGAGGAAAACAAACAATTGATTAGAAATTTGGAATATGTAAAATGTTCATATCAACAAGGTACGATTTCTATATTGTTTATTTTGTTCCTTAAAAAAATGCTAGAACCACTAATAAAAATTATTCACTAAATATATAGTTGTTTCACGTATGAAAAAACAGAATGAAGAAATCAATTACCTCAGTCAATTATGTAAATATCAGAATGGAAAGCTAAATAAGAATATATCGAGATTGATTTACAGTTACCTAGTCATTTAGAAAATAATACACTCAATCAATTATACTCAATTGGATTATAAGCAATAGAAAATTTGAGCACAATTTCTAACTGTATTCTTTAATGTCTTGTTAGTATAAAGTTCAAAATAAAATAAATTTTATAGGCTTAAATTTTAGCGTTAAAATTTGACTTTAACGTTAAAATAACAAGGGACAAATTTAAAACAATGAACTTTCACGTGACATGTATTAGCCAATAAATTCTACTTTAAAATTTAATATCTGATATATAAATCAATTCAGTCAGTAATTATAATGATAATAAAAAAAATCATCTTCTTTGCAGCCTTTGCAATATAATCTTGAACCTGAGTGTTAATTTCTAGATTTCCTTTTCTTTTTAATTAAATTTCTTAACGTTAAAATAAATTGAACTCCTACAGCCATGGGGGGCCGTAGGAGTTCAAAAATCGAGTAAAAAAATTAAGGCTAGATTTAAAGGAGGTATTATCGTTATCGTTATTGTTATCGTTATATACCTCGTTTAAAAAAAAAAGACTAGTGAGATCTTTTCTATTATTTCTAAATTTTATACTGAGGAAATCATTATTGTTTCTTTCTCTTGTTCAGGTCTGTCCCAGCATTCTTTCCTTTCTTTCTTTTTTTTCCCACTTGGATTTTGTTATTTGTTTTAGTCAATTGATTTTTTGATGGTCTTGTAGCTGTCATTTTTTCAACGTTTGATAATTCTATGTTAACTAGTTCAACCCACTCATCGCAAGCACCTTCTATTTGAAAGTCAATTAAGCCATTCTACTCTTTAGTAACTACATCTGTAGAATTCACCAATATCACAAAACCTTTATGGTTATGAACTGCACTAGCAAAATCTTTTATAAGAGCTTTTACACCAGGAATTCTTAAGGAAGTTCCCATTATTATCAAACAATCAGCCTTTTTCTCATCGTGTTTTGCTATTTTACCAATTTCTAATCCTTTAGGATGTGAATCATCGTATAGGATTACTGTCGGTTTTAGATGTCCAATAGTATGAGGACGCCTTCCTGTTCGATCCGAAAATTTTCTATTTATTGAAGTGTGAATAATTAATCACTAACTTAAACTACAATTGATAAAAGAAAACAAACTACCATATGTTACCGATTAGAAATAATAGCAACAACCAACTTTGGAGCAAAATTTACAGTGGTTATGATTTATTTACTTGGCCAGAAAAGATTTGTTTTTGTCACTTTTATTCGGTAATATACGGTATTTTATGTATTTACCTTTCTCTTCACATTCGGGTAGTGATGTGCCATTTATATGATACCCGAATTTTTTTCGCGTACAGTACGTACAGTATGTACAGTACGTATAGTGCGTATGGTTGTTTCTAGCGATCTGATTGGTTTGGAGAATTCAACCCGAAGGGATCAGCAAGAATTTTCGCGTACAGTACGTACAGTACGTGCGTACAGTACGTATAGTACTGTACGCGGCACATCACTACATTCGGGGCAATTTGGTGCTTCACCTTGCTTGAAAATATCACAAAATTGCTGTGTAAAAGGATAAATATTTGTGCAAACGTTACATCGTAAATTTGCCATGGTTCCATGTAATTGAACTACTTGAGCTTGATAATTTTTAACTCTTTCAAATTGCCAATCCACATTTAATCCTACTACTTCTTCAAGGCTATCTATATTTTGTGTATATACTCTTTTTAATTTCTTCATATCTGCCAACTTTTTTATAAAAAAATGAGTGGCAGTAGGTTTAGCATTTACAATTAATTTTTTTAACAAGCCCATGAAAAGGTTAAATGCTTTAATAGATTCATGGGTTCTATGTAAGCGAGCATCAAATAAATCTTTGCCAGAACGAAAGGTTCCCGAATATTGTTTCTTTATCTTATTATAAAGACCATCTGAGCTACTAAAATCCTATTGGTAAATAGTTGTAAAAAATACTGTCTCAACGAAAGAAATACTTGAAAAATATCAAATATTACTTACAGGTATGCCGCCACTACAAGAAATACCAGCTCCGGTAATTATAATACACTGCTTAGCAAGTGCTACACACCTAATTACTTCACGGAGTAGTGGACTACTTTCTTTTGACTTTAGATTTAATTTGACTACCTCCATTAATGTTTTGTAGAATCTGGAATTTGAGGCATCCTTTTATATCTTTTACTAAGAATTCTTTTATTCTTTTTAGTACATTCTTTTATTCTTTTTAGTACATTCTTTTGATTCTATTACATAATGAAATTATATATTTCTAATACAAATTTGTATATATTATTTTTTGTGCCAATTGTAAGTTTCATTCGTAATAAAGAGTCGAAGTCTTTATTATAAAATGATTAAATATTACGGAATTTATTATACAAAAAAATAAAATCAGATCCGAAATTTATACATAAAAAGATAAGCCAATTTTTTAACTGAGGAATACATGCTACGCAATAATTCATACGTGTAGAAATCTAGTCTCAAAAATGTAATACTATTTCCTTTCTCTTTCATACAAATTGAAAAGTATTTTAATCTTTAAGCCTCATATCTGATATATATTTTGGTAATCGTACGCGTAAAAAATCTTGAAATATTTATTTATAAGTCTTTAATATTAAACAAAAGTTTTTAATATAAAATTTATTATGCAATACTTTAAAAGGTTTTTTAAACAAACAGTTTATTATTGTATACTATAGGAATAACTTTAGGAACGTGAGAAGGACCTATGCAACATGTAACACATTATAAAATTATGATTGGGTAAAATATTTAACTCTGACACGTGATATATTCCGATTGGATGAAAACGCGTCACCAATTATCAGGTCTGCACAAAAAAGGTCGATAAATATTTTTATTAGCGCATTAACACAATTTGTATTAGTAACATATTTCGGATGAATGCCTGAAAATTCTTACATTTATACGGCTTTTATCCAAATAGTTAACATAATAATAGGTACGAAACAAAGTAAAATTTTTTACATGTATTAATGTAACTTGCATTAGTAATATATTACGAAAAGTATTTAAATAACCATTGTGTATAGTCTTTTATCCGAATGGCCGAATAATTAATAATAAGAAATAATTCTTACTTTCGAGCATAGCCTTGTAGATTAATAAACATGTAATGTTAATGGATTTTCCAATCTTCATAAATAAATTCTTGAAGAAATTATTCTTAATTAAATTAGATTGTGTTTAAACTTTATCTAATGGTTTATTTTTTATTTGGTAAGAGCTACTGTATCGGCAATAAACTCTTTACATACGAATAATAAACTTGCTACATCTTTCTCTGCATGTCAAAAAAAGGATAAGAAAAATGATATTTGGAAACATATTTCAAATTTAAAGAGTATCCTGGAAAGCACTATCACATATGTTATTAGCATTAAATATATTTAAATGACTTCATAATATAAAATTTTATACTGTACTATCAAGTTTTTTGTGCCACTCAATTCGAATAACGATAATTAAATTCACCAAGAGGTAATTCAAATGACTTTACACGTGACATATAAATCTCGAAGATAAGACAATTCAGATATTCATTAAATATTTGACTAAGCATTACTTGAAGTAGATTCATTTAATAGACTTTTTTGCGAGAAAATTTTAATTAAAATGTTCAAAAAACACAGCCAATTTCATAACAAAAAAGAAAATTTAAAAGAACTATATTTTAACGCGTAATATCGATATTTACTTAAAAAGCCACACTGAATTCCGTCGGTATGAAAACATAGCATCAATTATATACAGTATAAAAAAAGTATACAGAATTATTAGAAAGCAAATTAGATGGCTTACATTATGACTTCCACCAATTATAATTCCATTCATAAGGACATCTATCTCCCTTATAATGATTAATACGTTTAAATCTACTAGAACATCGTTCACATTTTAAAGAATTAATTTGTCGATCTACCTCTAGCTTAAACCTACAGCTTTGCGTATCATGTGTATTTTTGCTACAATATGAACACCACTTATAAGTCTCATACTGAACAATATTCCAATCCCAATTCCTAATCCAACCCCATGCGACGTGACTATTCTTTGAACAATAACCTGCGGAACACAGATCACAAAAATTATTGACACAAGCTTGGATCTCTTGGTTCCATGGTATACGTGGGTTTATTGGTTCGTCACCCCATTCAAAAACTTCGTCTTGTTGAGCTAGATTGAATTCTTAAGTTAATAATTTGTCAAAAATATTGACTGAGATAGAGCGATTTATAAAACACAAATATTTACAAGACATTTTTGTTATAACTATTTAAAATTTTTTTTTTTCTTTCTTTTTGATTTTTAAAATAATACACCGTTTTTGATCTATTTATATAAATAATCTATCGATGCTTTGGATAGAAATTCAGGTCGATATGTATTATAACTAATATAATACTATAAATCCGTGCTAAATGTTAACGTTAATATATTTTTAATCGTAAAATCAAATACCAAATATTGAATCCATCGTTTGGTAAACCCGTATCTAACTATAGTTTTTTTTATACTGTATATATTCCAATATCATATCGTAAAATATATTTGTTAAAGTAGAATACTAATGCTATTAAAATAAAACATATAAGTACAGTATAAATAAACATTTAAGGCAAGATAAGCACTATATTGTTACCGTTACAGTAAGACTTTAAATACACAAACTAGGTGCTTGAGTTGCTTAAAGGGAGTTGGAAATAATTGTAGTGTATCAATTTCACTAGTGCATTAAGTATCA